TTCGAGTAAGAGTTGAAAGTCGTCTGAGTGGAGGGGGAAGTGTGGGGGGGAGGACAACGCGAACGTAGCTGAATCAAGAGATCTCACGCGTGCTCGAATATTCTGGAAGGTGCGTTCTCAAGTTGTGTTAAACGTATTCACTAATTTAAGGTGTTTGCCATGATCACTCGGTACCGTTGGGTCAGATTAGTTGATAATGGAAATAAATTTGTACATGAGTACTTTGTCAGAATGGATCATCTAGGTCTAGCCAAGTCTACATTGTGCCGTATTCGCTACAGTAGAGTGGGAAAGACCACATTTAAGATATCTTTATGTCATGATGAGTCTTTCCCGAGCGTATCGAAATATTCTTTACGAACCTGGTTAGATAATAAGTAGCTTAGTTTAGATGGGTCTCTGTAAATATCAACACTTTGTAGGTTATAATTTTTCTTCCAAAAAATGCTTCCTATTCCGCGATATTCGCTTCAAGTAGATTTGCTGTTCGGTTCATTTATATTCTCACCTTCATGTCCAATTAGCTTGCTGTAGCATCCATGAGATTTGCCCAGGGCGTTTGCCCTATTTTTTGGGTGAAATATATTTTTGACAACATTAATTGTAACTTTTCACCCCGGCAGTTATAGATTTTGCCTTGATCCTAAGTAAGATTTGTAGCTTTTCACATCTGCTAAAGTATCGCCGAATTACACAGTCATTGCTTTGCAGTTCTTTGGACAAAGCCAACTTTTCGTTCAATCCTACTCCATTGTTGAGATCTAAAAACTGTGGACTACTTTTGAGACTATTTAAATTAATCTAATAATAATAATTAGTTGAAAGGGTAATACTTAAATATTAGAATTTAACATGCATTGTAGTGGGAACATGGTAGTTTGAAGTGAGAAGTCAACCGTCGGTTTATAGACTTTTCTTGCCGCATGAATATACGTTGCCCAAGGCACACCACGTGAAGGTAAGTCTATCGCACACCCCCACTTTGAAGGAAATAAGAAGGCTACAGGGAGCAGTAGATTGGAAACGATCTAGTTGGGTCATGCTGATCCCGCTACAAATAATCCCGGATGTCCAGTACTTGTGCTCGTTGCGATTAACTTAATTAGAGCTAAGATCACGGTACTGGTCTCAAGGAGAAAGATGAAAAACCTTCGGTCGGGTTGACCCACAACAGCAATCAATCAGGAAATGTAGGTGAAAAGTTTCTCAAAATTACTGAAACATGTAAGCAAAATACGCCTCAGAGTGAGATAGTCCAAATGTGGCTATAATGTAAACGATCCTGCGTTTCAACAGTATGCATACAGTTTAGGCCCTATGTTTTTTTAAGGAATTGAGTGCTAATATTATTGGTGAGTAGCCTTAATTTTAGAATTTCACGCGGGCTATATTACTTCCAATTCAGCTAAAATTCCCCAAGTGATTACATTAAGTTTGAGACAGTAAAATTTCTCGTGTACACACACTTTGGTTTAATGGGAGTTGCTTGTTGTTGGCGCGTGTTATGGAGCATCATGCGGAAAATTTAATCTCCCCCCAAACCGTAAAATGAGATGTGGGTAAATTTAATTAAGTTGCCTTTCTCCACACCTCATCTCATCAACTTGTATCCACACCTCTCTCCCTCCCTCTCTCCCTCTCTCATCAGTGAAATGATTTTTCCTTTGGTGTTTTGGGAAAAATCCCAATCCGCACTGAAATGGATGTATTGTACGCGAATGCATTTTTATTCAGTCACCCATTCGAAGAAGTCTAGCATGGACTATCCATAATAATTATAAGTAATTTGTGTAATTTTGAGAAAATGGGTCACACTATTTTCTATACTGGCATACTCTACCTCAGTGTTTAAGTTAGTAATGGAGAATGTATTTTTATTATTCAATGATATTTCTTCTTCAAACGTGATATTGCCAATAAGGATAAAAACTCTGTAATGCCAATAATCTTTGGGATAGGAGAGGAATAGGGAGAGGTGGGGTGGGTGAGGTTATATGTGCTATTTCTGAGATAGGTATCAGAATACCCTGTCTGAAAATCCAAGCAAGAGTTTTTTCGAGGAAAGAGATATCTTGTTAGTTAATTCACCTTGAATTGTTGTGCTAACCCGTTTGAAAATTTTAGGCATTTTTCAAGTGAATTACTAAAAGGAATAAACGTCTGTTCCTTACAACATATAATTCCGAAATAAAGTCAAAATTTCAGATCACCGTGACGAATTCGTTTAAATTTTTCATTCACTTAAGATTAGCTTAACTTTTCTGTTTTTATTCTTTGCTCAATCTTGCGAATATCATCGTTTATGAATCATGGGACATTTATGTCTTAGCTTTTACCGTGAACTCCATTTTCTTAGTTATGCAAAATGTTAATTCGAAAAAAAAGATATTATATTTAATTACACATTACTTTGTGGATTTCGGTAAAAATAGCCCAATTTTATTAGGAGAATTCAAATTAAATTTAGATCAAAATTTAATTGTCACTGATTTGCCAATACTCAATCGTGTTGACGTACCTGCTGACAGCTCATGATTCGAAATGCAGATCGCTCTATCTAGTGCTTCGAAAGAGGGTTCGAGTTGTTCTCTTCAATCAACTTTCTCCATTCGTCTCTAAAACTCACCTAATTAGTCCAGTGAATCAACGTAATCAAAGATCCTATGGTCTATAATTCGACAGGGGGAGGGAATTGAAATAAACTCCTCTTGAAAAGTGGTTTACCAAAATTTCAAATTATGATTGGTGTCTCTTTATCTAATAGATCACATAGGCTGATGACTAAAGATTTTCTCGCGGTTGGGACTTAAATTTGCTTGTAAATGTTTTGTAATTGCTTAGAAGCCAATTTTCAAGAAAGAAGATTTAAATTGGTCCCATTTTATCAACATGTTTGATGGAATTGCTCACCTCAAAATTGATGTACGTCTGCACCAACTTTTTCGTCATATCTACAGACTATGAGTTGATAAATATTAGCAGGATTTTGAACCATATAGCCTGTATCGCCGAATATCGAAAATAGATAAGAGAAAGCTCAGCAACCTTTTAAATAAAATCTGAAAGTTCTTACTTCAAAACAGCCTCGTTGAACACTTTCATAAATTTAAAATCTAATTATAGCAGCCCAATCATCGTATTGTATAAAAAAATTGAACATACGTTTTAAATAAAAGCGTATAACACAATACGACAGTAATAGTATGAGAAGTCGATGCATTGAAAACACCCGGCACATGCTCAAGCGTACAAATAAAGTTATTTATGGATTGTCAGGTATTTCAATCTGAGCCTTTAATGGACATTGGTTAGTCGCAGAACTCGAAGTACGACACTTTTACTTTGAATTCACTTGAGCTCATATTTTAAAAGCTATCTTTTTGAGTTTGATAGACTAATATTGTTGCTACGGCATTTTTGCATTTTCCCAACGAATGTCCAGTAATGATATTGTAACAGCGTTAAGTGACCAGCGTCCTCATCACCGAGAAACCATCCGAATTTATTGATTAATAAATAAGTACAGTGTACATCTCCCCTTAGATTTCAGCTTTTTTCTCTTTGTCGATGTCCCTATTAGTCGGGCACACCCACGAAGCTGAACTTCCTAAATATAATGTAGTCGAGACTTAGGCTTTTATTAATTTTATTATAAGAGTTCTAACAATTCTCCTAGTTGAAAATGGCTTTATTTAATGATAATTAACCAATCCGCACAACTTCAATGAATCCACGTTGAAATAAATTAAGGAGTCATTTAAACCGCTATATATTGCAATTCACTTTAACCTAGTATAATACTTTTTTCTGTTATTCCCTATGTCAAGCATGCATTATCAATCTAAGCATTATTAACCAGTATACGAAGCAATAAATTTCTAACGGGTAAGATAATTAATTTCAGTTTAAAATTCTAGTGCAAATTCATAAATCAAAAATTAAAAACAGATATCGCCTCCAAAATGGCATGGCATTATTAGATTGGAAGAATATGTATATAAAAGGGGACAAATCGATTTTTAATTCAAATATTATCAAGGGTACTTTTAATAACGTTCAAGAATTCCGAAAGATTAACAAATTTCAGAGAATGCGTTGGGTTTATGCAACCAACTGATTATGCGTTTCATGTATATCATTTGAATAATTATAAATATCTTTCCTTTTATTATTAAAACCAACATATTGACAATAGTTAGATTAAAATAATTGATTTTCAAAAAAAAATTTATCAGAATATAAAACCACGATTCTTTAGATGTAAGTTTATTGGTGGCGATTTAACAATCCAAGTTAGTCATTTTCAAAAAAAATCCATTAAAACTTCTCAATATAAATATCAACTTATTGAATATTGGGATTAAATTTGAGTTTCGGATACTAAAATCATTTCAATTTCTAAGGTAAGGTGAATCGGCATTTAAATTTTTCCAAATAATATTATTGGTGGAATACTTTAACCGCGGTCTTCAAAAGTTTGTCATCTAAGCAGGTTTCGAGGTCATCGATTGGATCGAATGTATTTTTACGCCTGTTTCATTGGTGACTTGCCTTTACTGAAAATATATTGCCTTATTAATACTACCACTCCTTAGAACTAGTAGCCATGCTTTATACCGCTTCTGGAAGACAGAAAATGAAACTTTGAGAACGCATACTTTTAGACTTTACATTCCTACTCTCCCAAACTCACTTCATGTCTGTTTTTCACTTCAAGTTAAATCTCCTTAAGCTACATTAATCCCCTTCAGCATTTTTTCGCTATAAGCATTTTCTAATAGTTGGTAACTCATAAATTTTCGAGCTCATATCCACTCAGGATGCATTGCCATGAAAGAGGTACCTCCCTTTTCTCTCCAGATATGTTTATTAGCAAAACTCATTTCTGCTATAAAAATCTTGGAGTTCTAAGCACGTACAAGAGGGGAGGGAGGGGGATGGGAAAGCAGGGTAGTATGTGAACCACGCATGAGCGTCTTTAGTGTGATTAAGATGTTTATCTAAACAAGTCCAAAGCCTTCAGTATTTTCAATGGCTTGTTTTAATTTAGTTGCGAGAATCTCTTTGCTGCTGTACTTTGGAAGGTCGAGAATGTTGTAGCAGGTGTGTGCTACTGGCAAAAATTCATCCCCACTGTTATTTGGCTGAATTGTAATCTAAAGAAGAAAACAAATTGTTTAATAGTATAGAATAAATCGAGTCAGCTGAACTTGAAAAAAAAATCCGAGCTGATTAAATTCAAGAAGTACTAGGAATGCCCAATAAATCTCCATCATACATCCTTAATCTATTACCGAGAAGTTTTCAAACATTGAATTAGAGTAAACAGATATTTTAGCAAGGCTCGTGCATTTTATTGCCACATTAGCCAATATGAATGCTCGTTCATGCCTCCAGATTTCTGCTTATGAGAACAGGCCTGACAGAAGCGCATACTGTCAACTGCGCCACACTGTTCATTTTATTTATATTGCGTCTATCATTCATCTGTAAGTACTTGAGGACAATCGCTTGAAAAATTGGATGATGACTTTTATGAAAAGATATCAGGAGACACTGCAATATTTTGGATTTGCAACCTTAAAGCCACTTAACTTAGCCCTGGAAGCTAAATATCGATTCTCTGGTTAATAAAAGAACTTAAATAGTCTCGGTTTTAGCCACCAGAGTTTCCTTTAAAAGAAGCAATCAGTAAAGTTTACTCCCCAAATTATTGTGTTCACAGACTTAACTAAAGAATCGATTCAATCTCGCGTAACTCAAAAATAGCAATGTCTACGGGAAGATATGTAGGACACGTCTCTGTCGACTAGAAGTAATCAAAGTACCTAGCCACCTGATACACCTTTTCAGGTGTGGCATGTTGATAAAAAATGAATTTAACATATCAGAGTGGTAGTATTTCTTTCGAATTTCGCCACACCCCTTACTAGCCAAGTGTAATCATTGTGATTTGCCATTCAGGTCATTGGATGTGCACTATTAAACAGACGCGAAACCAGTGACCTCTAGCTTCGCAGGCGAGCACTTTAACCGCTGCACCACCTGCCTTAATAAAGAGTGATTAACTGTTTTGAATTGAGTAGATTAAACGGAAAATTTTCGAGACTCGCCTTAACGTCAGTGACACCGAAGATGGGCATTCGATCACAGCCAGTGAGAAATCGAAGGAAGTTCTTTTTGTCTTGAAGTGTACACTCATTGATTAAAACATCCCAGAACCACTGGATAATCGGATGACGATCCCAGTATTCCCCATTGTAATTGGTGTGCTTCCGAAGCTCTTGCCAATCAATTTCATCCGAACCCACCACCATACTCTAAAAAAAAGAAAAGTAATTGTGGATATAATCAAAATAATATACGAATTGACAGCCTATGTATTCACAGACTATCGTCTTACAGCTGGCACATATTGAGCCCCATTTCATTCAGAAATGACTCACTCTTCTTCCATTATACTTTCAGGTGATAGTGACTTTTGTGCTCTTCTTATGCAATTTTCAATGATTAAGTTTGAATCTATTAATGGCCTTGCTTGTGCTGAAGTTTGCGAACGACTAGAAGGGCGATAACTCAATAATGTATCGAAAAACGACTCATCAAAATAGCTGTAGTTCACCCGTATTGGAAAGAATTTTGTAGCCAATGCTAAGCTTAGTACACTGAGTATGCCATAGAAGCCGATAGAATTAGTCAAGTTCTTACATTACTTCATTGGATCTTATAAAAGCCTCTAACAAATTAAATATCGATTCAACTGTCCTGAGTTCCACAAAACACTCAAACTGATCTAAATTGATTTGAAAAAAGACAAATAATTTGATCACTTAGAAACTTGGTTAAAGAAATCTGTTAGAGGCAACTTACATGCAGTTCTGTGGGTTGGAACATGCGAATAACGTAGCCCGAGCAGACGTCGAAGAAACCTTTTTTGAATGCCTCAAAGACATCCTTGCAACTGCGATTAAAGCGGAAGTCGAGATATTTTTCCACGTAGAGCTCCTTGTTGACATGATCCACAGGGATATCACATCCATTGGGAATGAGAGGCACTCGTTCCACTACCCCATAGTGGTCTACGGCAATCTAGAGAAAATGTAAAAAAGCATTCGTTAGACCAATAAGCAATAACCTGAATTCTTACTACATTAACAAGGCTATTCAGCTAAGTCAATCCACTCCGAAAAAAATTGATGAACACACGTACTTGGAGAATGAAAATTTCCCACCATCAAATTACTGACTAATCGATAGACTAATAAAATAAAAGCTAAATTGACGTAGAATATAAAAAGACTGTAAATCGTGTATAAGGCGATAAAACGAAGCTCTCGCTAAGTCACAGATCTAAGCTACCGCAGAAATATTAAACAGGCTGACTTTCAATTGGAAATAACATAATCACTTTATAATAAAAAGTAAAGCACACAACACATTGACGGTAGCTCATGAGACGCCGCACCTTTGTTTTTTCCCGCAAAAGCTTTTTATACAGAAGCTGATTGTATGTTCTTGCTTCAGTAAAAGATTCATTCAGCAGAAAATTTGCGCAAATAAAATGGACATCTCTTCATGCGTAAAAGGGATTTGTTGGATCTAAGACATGACTTACAGTTGGCTCCTGCTCAATGTTTAATAAGTTGCCCTATCGGCTGCACACACGCAGTGTTTCACGCCAATTCCTCTGTAGTCATTCAAGAGCAAATCGAAGAAAAAACAGCCAAAGGACAAAGGCATACAACTGCTTTTCAAGCACTGCCTCAGATGCCAAAATGTTGCGGTCAAGTAAAAAACATGCACTGACCCCCAACGAAGACATCATGAAGCAGGGTGCTTGTTGATACTCCTTGTCCTATCAACGGCACTGCCTAAGTAATACTGGTGAAGTTACATTCCAAGTGGTTAGCAAACACCGCAGAGACCATCAACACCCGTATAACCATAGTTTCACAATACACGGTCCTCCAAAAACTCGGATACAAGGCCACCAGAAAAAAATCTGTTCACCTCACTTTGAAGAATATTGCAGACAAATAACTAGTAACACAGCATTAGAACGTCAAGCACCCAAAATGAGCAATATATAAACACTTTCGAATGGTCTACGTTGAAAGAAAAATGGGATGGATTGATAGAAGAAGTGATTCAAAGGGTTCCTACTAACCAACAGGAGGAATCTTCATCGGAGGTGGGTAGTAACACGCTTGCAGAAGTACAAATTGGAAGAAAATTCAAGCCATCTACCGGCGAGAAGTCATAAAAGAGGTCTTATTCCTATTTGTTCAGGATTTCCGAATCGATCACTTCTAGAGAGGCTAAAACTGCGGCCAAACGAAAGAGAAGTCATCGCTGAAACTCGAGTAAATGATACCAAACGGACTTGGAATAGAAAACGGATTAGGTTACGTATTGCGGGAAGAAAATCACTCGAATAAAGTTTTAGAAAAAAACTTCAAAACAAGACATACGACTCTCTAAATCGATTTGTCGAAAAATGGGAAAACTTCAGACGAATTGGAGATTGAAGTCAAACGAGGAAGCAAGGCAATCATTAAACATTTTTCTAGTTACAGTATTAAAATGCTATTTTATGTTTTCTTCCCTTTTACATTAAAGGCAACGTTAATTAATTAAATTATTTATTCGAACCAGTGAATAGTCTTGTACAGCACGCACATTTTGTTCGAGGTAGCCGGATACTACCATATCAAGTGCGTATATCCATAAAGTTGTCCACTAGTTCTCCTTTTACAAGAATTTTGCATTGTTAGCTGGAACTACTACATAGGAAACAGTCGCAAGCATATTTTCCACCTTGTCAACATTACCTTTTTTGTTAATACACATTACCCTAAAGGTAGGTAGATCATCTAATTATAATTCAAAACTTCGTCTGAACAAAGAGGCAACAGCACCATACTCCAATTTGCATCTAATCCGTGACCCCTCTGTTTCCGCTCACGTCGTTACTGAATCGTGCCTTAGCCTATTATGAAGGGCTAAAACCGTAAGGAGAGAAGTTAGAGAGAAGAATGTGTAAGTTAATTAGAGTGTCTGAATACATAGAGAAAAAATGTATCATTGAATGGAAGTGTAGTTATAATTAAACCAAAGGAGGGCACGATTGCAAACCAATTAGAGTTCACCATCAATGTAAACTTGCGTACAGAATCTGAGATTCTAGAGGGTATCAATAGTAATGGCCAAATAAGTAAATAAACGCATTTCACTCTATGGCTGAGTTTAAAAAATAGTCACTCGATGACACAAATATACGGCACGTCTTCTAGATAATAAATTAAAACTTTGGAAATAAAGTAATAAGATAATAAGACAATCTCTATTAAGCTCAAACTGAGAACTAAGATCATCAGTAAAACCGAATGATGTAATCAATCATGCATGCGTAGTAGACGAAAAAAATGCCTCACTTTGTGAAGAGATAAGAGAATCACGGGCCATCAAGCCACGAAGATGCAAGATTATAAGCAAATAGCACCTCGATGAAGGAAAGAGCGCTATGGAGAAAACATCACCTCAAAGTTGATACAGAACACATCCTCCACATCTGTGCCTTCATAGTCCAGGAGGGATTGAAGCGATCGACCCGCTGTTGGATCCAATTCTTTAAGATCATCCAACGTTGGTTCCTCATCTAGGAGCTTTTTGAAAAGTGCTGTGGGGAAGCAGAGGTCGATGATATTGTTGTTATAGATGGCTAGACCACATAGAGCTCCTACCATGGCGAACATATGGGGAGACTCAAAGTTCTATTAGCGAAAATGTCAAATAAGAAGTACCAACTCGCTAATACTCCATAAAATAACAAGCAAAGCAGGCCTACCGTTTCGTTGAACCACAGCATACGAGAATCCTTGTATACTTTGAACATACCATAAGCCGGATTTAGAATCTCACGCATGATTAGGATGAAGAACTCCTATAAAAGGCAGAGGTGAGATAAAATCACATGATGTACAAGCAATTGCAAAGGCCGTAGATGGCATTTCAATGTACCTTCAAAACTCCACCATCGTCTATCGCCTCCTCGCCAGCGAAACGAACCTACAAATAACCAATGAATATGATTAAGACGTTAGCTAGCGCTGATCTTCCTATAGTCTAGCATAAAGACGTTTAATGGAATATAAAGGTTTGTAAATCCCCTATGGTTTGAATGGGGGCTTCCACTTAATTGGAACGATGCGAAAAGCTTTTTCAAACTACCATTACCATTATTTGCCACTAAAAAGTGACCAGCAAAAGTCAGAACTAGGGAATAACCTATATTCCTCTGATGATAAGCTTTACACATAGATTAGGTATAATCAAAAATCCTACTATTTCACATATTTTAATAAATATGGAAATTCCGATTAGTCGACAACAAAAGTATTCATTTTTAAACAATATCTCTCACTAAAGGTTGTTTATCCATAGGTTTGAGTAGTTCGAAGACTTCTGAAGCGTCTGGAATAACAGTTGAAAAGATACTTGCTCTGAATCGCTTACGGTGTAAACTGGAATAATCATTTTGGATCCAAAATGTAAAAACGGGTTTGAAGATTCGTTAGGAGCGTGAGGTGTCGACAAAGAGAAATTTACAAAAATTTCCAACGGCGAAAATAAGTGCCAATGATCTCCCTTCAATCATGGTATGGTCTTGGCATAAGAATCAAGGAGAACAGAATCAAGTGAGCTTCGACATTAGCTTTAACAGATACGCTCTCGGTGGTAACCAAAATCCGTTTGAGTCCAGTTTCTCAACATGAAACCTGCTTGGCCGTTTAAGACTAGCATTATTGGAAGCGATTGGCTGTGCCGTTCACTGGATGCACAGTGATAGAGACAGAACGCGTGACATATGATTTAGCAGATGGGTACATTGGCAACCACACCAATAGTGGACAAGTCCTTCTTCAATCGGGAAATATCAAATCGGGGAATTTTAATTTACCAACAACGACAACTTCTTTGGACCAAAATAAATGATGAGAAAAAAGCGACCTCCTTGTATATAGAAGCAGTAATTGGTTGGTGGTCATTAGATTGAAATTTTCAATCGATGCCTCCATAGTTCATTGTCAGGTCTTAATCTCGCGCTCCTTTGATTCATTATTTATCAGGAGTGAAATTCCAACAAGATGAAACAACTGGCCAAAAAATTGGGAGATTTAACGGGACCTTCACAGGCAATTTTCAATTGAGACAGCCTTAGAAGCAAGAAACCTTTTATAGCTTTCAGTTGCTCCTAATAATCCTCCAAGTTACGCGGACTCAAGAAAAAAAATATGGAAGACAGTTTAGAGTCCACTACTGAGGAAATGGTGGAAATACGGAGAAACATTTCTAATTTGCTGATCACCACCGATAGCTGTGGATTCCGCGCTGGTGGTCCTACTTGTCAAAGTCAGAGCGCAAAAAAATTATTAATGGATAGTTCATTACACGGGTGCATTCTTGGCATGCTCGATTGAACGTACGGAAAATGCTTGATTTGGATTACTAAGGTGATGTCTTGAGAAAATGCATTTTTATTAAAGAACTGGACAAACCCGTCTAAGGATAACAGGGGGTTATGAACGAAAATTGATTCAATCCTTTCAGTGATTTAAAGTGTCGAAAACCCCGTAATAAAGAAACTATGAAGAAATGCCATTCATACCTCCACTTAACAAAAGAGAACAGTAAACATTCACTCACATCCATAATCCTAAGCAAATTAAGATCCACTATTTCGGGAGAATTTTGTAGCCAATAGTTAGTAACACTAAACACTATGATTGCAAATTGACAACCTAGTTAAAAATGGAGTTTAGTAAACCATAAGAGTATTAATGAAATCGAGACCATAGAAACTAGAAAGTGCACAAAAAGTGGCAAACCTTGAGAGGACGTTTAAGGTCAGCCTTCGAACGCAAAGTTAGATAATCCAATGTGTTAGAAATTAGATTCTCGCGGGAGACTTCAAGCGTAAGGTAAGTCTGCGGTATGGGTCCAAGAAGTCGTGTCAGTGTGGTACCAAGAACTGCGTTGGAGAAATTTTGCATTGCCATCTCCTGCATCAATCTCGCTTCTGTCTGAAGCATCTTCGCTTTGCAAGCCACATCGAAAACGAAGGGATAATCGAATATTGTGAAGTTCTAAAGTTAAAAAGAGATCGATGTACATGGTGTTGAAGTCCGTTTTAAAAGGAGACTTGCAATGATTAGTCGAAGATAAAGGAATAAGAGGAGTGCCTGGTTTCAGATTAATCAAATCATGAGCAAACCACTGGAATCAGTTTTTCAAACATGGCCGCCTTCTGAAATACGGGGTTGGATAGAATAATATAATCGATACAACGATAATGCCCCTTTAGAGATGAGTTAACTATTGTTTTAGAGTCTAACTTGGCTGGCCACTAATATGCATAATTTGAATCCGTGGTTAAGTGAAATGGTAAACTAAGGTATTGATGGGGTTCCAGTCGTCAACTGAGATCCTCTGATTTAGAAGTGACTCCTCACTTGAAGGACTAATAAAAAGGTAAGAAAACGGTGTGATATCACAGTTAATAACTACAATAGAATATAATAAACGCTTAAAAGATTATGTAGTATCATATCGAACACATTTGTTTGTCCCAATTGTTCGATGGTGTTCTTTCTAGCCTCTCTCCTTTTCTACTTCCCATGCCCACCTTACTTCCCTCTCTTTCTTATTTTTTAATGCAGTTCAAGAAAATATCTTGATCTCCACCCAACTCTTAGTCCTCTGAGGATACCACTGTGGGCCGGCTGGATATGATGGCAGTATAAATATACACAAAACTGTTGTTAAGGATTTGACATTCTATTACTAAGGGTCACAGTTTTATAGTAATTACATATTCGAATCATTAGAAACAACAAGAGTTAAATGCCACAACAGAGACGGAGAAGGATGGGAAAAGAGGGGGAGGGGCGATGCAAAGGAGATGTATGCAGCTTGCAGAGTAAAGTGTGTTGGAAAGAGGTAGAAATTGGGGTGGAAGGAAGGGGGGGGCGGGGGGGGGGTTGGAGTTTAGATATATGGTGACATGCCTAGCCTACCTGATTATTGTTATTGTGTGCCGGCTTGGGGGGAACTGATTTTGAACGCCAAATGCGAAACCTGCGCTAGAAAATAATAACACAACAACACAACAGAGGCATGTCAGCCAGCCAGTCTTACAGTTGATAATTTCACTATCAGCTTTCCTATCTATAGCTAGATGCTTGTTAAAGTCCAGAAATCTTTTATTATACGATAGGGGTGACGCAGTTAGGCATTTGATGCGTTTAGTTGTTAGAGAATGTGCAATAAGTTGAAGGTAAGGTTACCGATATCCCTCTAGAATTATTTGTTCGGGGTGGAACCTATGTATCAATGTGCATAGAATAGGGGAAAAGTAGAGAAAAAATGTTGAAGAGAAGGTAAGTAACAGACTAAAATAACATAATCAACTTACAGGGGGTGGGCACTGTCCAGCGAATGAATCAATTTGCTATAAGGTATAATCAAAAATTGGTTAGAGAATTGAAACGTAGATAAATGTAGAGACGGGACTAAATTAGGCTACCTTTTCATTAGAATGCCGCTGTATTAACCAATTAGCAAACCCCCTGTCGTTAAACCTGTCTGTCAATTCGGGAATGTAGAATGCCATGTAGCTAATTCGCTCCGTTCGTTTCTGGTTTATCTACAAAGCATCGGGTGCAACTCAGAGGATCTAAAAACTCTCATAGTCAATCAAAATTGAGAAAAAGACATCACACCTACATCATGGAGACGCTTAAGTAGTTCAAGAGATGCGTGTGTTGCGCTTTGGTTGTTGAAGCACTAATTTTAGGGAAAAGGGAAAATAATAAGTCCACATAACCCATCAAATTATTTAATAAATCGGCATACATTGACCTCTTCCACTGGGTGCTCAGAACAGTAACGGAAGGCGACAAAGTTAGTAAGATTCTGGAAAAGGCAAAGAAGTGTTAAGAAGAGTAACATAATTACGAGGGGGGGGGGGGGGGGGAGAGACTTTAGATAAAGAACTTACGGCGACCAAACGACGGAAAAATCGAGGCTGAAAGTCCGTGAACCAGGAATCTGCGGTGAGTGGGAGGAAATTGAAGAGGGTAATAAAATGAGTGTTCTCATGAAAAAGCGATAAAACTATTTTGGAGTGTCTCTCTTAAAGTACACACCTTTCGAGTGAGGTAAGACAAAACAAACGAATGTGCAGGATTAATGCTCTAAATGATTTTTAAAAACAGCTTGATCAAAAATAGAAATTTTCAGATTTAGGTATAGCTATTTTTAAATAAGACGTCTAAAAGTGTTACCTTTGAGAAACTATCGATTAGTCATGTTTTTTATTATGCACATGATACTATAAAATAGCACAACTATTTCCCATTGATTTTGCAATTTTCGAAAACTATTTTTAAGCTGGATATTTTTGTATGAGCGTAGTTCAAAACAATATGGGAATCTCCTAAAGTATTTAGCGTAGAAAGTGTTTCATCATACTCGTATGACTAGATAAAACAACATTTGCGTTGCAAAAAGACGTCGATACAAAAGGTTTTAAAGTACCAGAAAATGGCTCGTGGTAGATCCCCCCCCCCTCCCACCCACCAGAAGAACTTTCTAGAAATCGTAGTGATTTATGATCAACAGCAAAGTAATCATGCTATGAAATTCAGAAACAAATTTTTCAAATGTACAGTTGGTGCTGGATAACGCACTTCTACTAGCTAATAAGTTAAATAACGCACATAAAAGTAAAGGAGTAAATAACAAGCAAACCCTTTCAACCGATAAGTACTTCTGAAATGACTTGATTTGTGCTAATTGAAAAAGTAACACTGAGTAACGGCTTTTAGGCATTGATGTGTAACCCCATTCCCATAAATGCTATTAAGTTACCAGAGGTATTTGCAACAGTTTTTGTGCACAAAAAAGGAACATATTAAAGCAGGCGTATTTGTAAAACCATACGCAATCGGATATGACTAACGCATAAAATGCTCGAATCTAACAGCCACAAACAGAATGAGGTACATTTTCATGCACCGAACAAAAAATCATACAAATTTGCGAACGTAGTTAATACTTCGAGCAGCAGCAGCACTCGATCACTGTTCTGCCAATACCATACCTCCCCCCGCCTCCCCCCCCTTTGCTACCTTCACTGGCTAACTAGGCAGCCAACAAATTTCACATATTCAAAACTACATAAACAAATGAACTCCATAAATAAGAGGTGTCGCAAGTTGCAAATCTTTTGTTCTCTTACTATTGGATCCGAAAAGTTATAGCCAGAAGGGACTCCCAGTAATATTAGTGATAGCCAATATTAGAGAACGAGCTACTCCCCACTTCAAGCTAAACTCTGATCCAACAATTATAAGCAATTAAGAATGAGACTGGTAGGAAGCCAGTAAACAGAAGTCTAAGCCTGGGATTATCAATTATCACGAGCCGTCACCAAGTAGTCCATTCTTATGAATTTAGCCAAGACATAGATTATATCATTCATTTATGCAGCCTTTGTCTACTTGATAAAGTGAATTGGATATGAATCAACTTCAGACTAGAGATATCTAGTGGAAAGGTAAATAACGGCGGCAGAAAATAAGACTTCATGGAATTACAGCAGCATACAAGAGCAGCACTACTAACTAATAAAATCCACCCGAAGCTGCTACATCATTATTCAGCCTTACATGGCAAGATTAGATAGAAGTGTTACTTACCCAGTACTGATAGCGGAACTCCCTCTAGTCGACAGACGGCGCGAGCGAAGGCAGATAGTACAAATCCAATTGCATATCCAGCCAAAACTGTGGGATAATGTGTGGTAGGTCCAGTGCCAACTTCGACAGAACTATCAGGCAAGTTAAAGGTATCCTTTCGGGGGGTGTCAAGCAATGGGGAAACGGCAAGGAAGACAAAGACTCTCAGGCATTCAAGATCAGGGAAATTGGAGCGGGGTCGACTAATGGCCTCAAGCAAGGGACGAATGAGACAACGAGCATCTGAAACTGGAGCAACCAAGAAGAGGTCGGTTTGGAGCGCCTGAGCAGAGTCCAAGTCCATTCCGTGGTCGGCCTTACCAATATTGTAATGACTGCGGTTTGCACTGGGGAACACATGAAAAAATATTTATTATCACAAAAAGCTGCTTCAGAAACTCGATCGGTACACTTTCTACGTTGAAGGGCGTTAGAGAAGGATGAAATGAGGTCATCATATAGCATTTGGATCAATACGAAAAACGGCAAATTTTCAATTATGTAGGATGCGAGTGGTCAAGTTATTGAGACATCTTGAATGTGTGGACGATGTATTCAAAGAGCAGAAGAAAATTTTGGGCAAAGCTCCAATGAAACCGACATATAATTAAACCTTGTAGATGTAAGGAGAGATCTCTGATCAAACAATTAGCTCAGACTGTATGACAAAGAGCTAGCCGATGATGCTCTATAACAGAATAGTGTTAAAGCTAAAACACAGCATGCAACACTTAGATGGATTACAAGACAGAATGAGCTTTCGATCAGAATTTGGGCAAAATTACTAGAATTATTCATCGAACAGATCCTTTAGAACTGTTACTCCGAAGTTGTATAACGAAAATAGACGAAATGGATTGTATGTCTTTCAGAACATTGTTCGACGGAAATTGTAAAGCCTACACAATAGAACAGAAGTGCATATTTAAGTGAAAACTGAAAAAATGGGTTCCTTTAGGAGATCTTGCCGCCAAAGCTAATTTACAAAGAAAGATTGGATACTACCCAAAATACCATTGAAAACCCATTTACCAAAAGCTAAAAGCCCTTTAATCTGTAAGAACAAAAAATAATTGATTGAGACACTTCAATCTTGGTGGCAAAGAGGTGTTAGATAAGCTTGTGATAAAGAGCCCCCCCCCCCCCCTACACACACAAAGAAATCTATTTTTTGCATTACTGAACATCAATAAGGTGCTCTCAAAATATTAATTACAAGTGTTAAACCTACGTGTCACTTACCCTTTTCAAATCAAATATGAGAAGACATCATCACTAACTCTCATAAATGATCAATCAAATGATAGGCTTCTTTTCCTAGTGGACGGATGCTGTAAGATTTTGCAAAAAAAGGAGGGGTGAGAAATCATATGGAACTGTTTCAGTCAGCATTTTAAATACGAAGATGATGATAATGATGCCGCTACAATAAAATAGGCCTCATTGCATTTTCATTAGTGTAGCTGGGAGCTCGGATCAAGGAAGCTTCTCATTATTCTCGGAGCCACTGCCAATATTCTCTTTATCATCTTAGGTCTCTTTGAAACGGAAATTAAATAAAGTACTTATTATTAACAATCCACAAGCCATTACCTCAGCCCAGAAGAGAAATCAATATACGTTTATACTTCACAGAAACGTATTAGAATTCTATTTAGCCAAAATAGTTCCTAGTATACTAAGCAACATTAGTCCATCTGAACAGTATGCTATATGATATTTGAGCAAAAAAATGTGAATAAATAAATGAACTAATATAATGCATTAATTTTAATATTGGTAAAAACATTTGGAATTTTTCGTCATTACTTACTTATTCAACAACAAGCTAGAGGCAAGACAACCAATAGACCCGAAGGCAACTTCCAGTCTCTTGAAGGCAGACTTCATAGAGTAATGCTCCAAGCAGTATGTGGCCTCAGATATGTCCGGGGGTTCACTGTTAGAAGTAGAGGAAAGTCTTCGAGTCGAGGCACTGAGTTGGTGATCTGTGAAACCGTTGATGTACCGTCGGATAAGGGGTTCGCTGATAGTTGCAATGTTACTCAAGTGGCACGGCTGCCATTTTCGAAAGTCTGCTAGTGGTGGACATGAGAGCTATGAGAGAATACAGAAAAAGATGACGAAAACATGGATTCAACACGTATTCCTGTCTCCATTCAGCACATATCCACACAATTTTGCTGATATCTAATTTCAGATTATATGTAATAAGAACGCTCGGAAGTTATCTCTAATGGTTTTCATGTCTAAGTCAGCTTCCCCAATTTAAAGTGAGTGGAATAAGTTACTAGTGGAGGTCTCTTCCAAGATATATTGGAAGTATGAATGAGAATGAAAGGCCCTTCCTATAAACCTTGTCGAATTCCTTCTTAGGTTAAAAGAAAATAAGCTGAACTTGGAAGTTTGTTCAGGAAAGGTACGCAGATCAACGCCTAAGATGCATATAAGGGACGTGAACTACAACTACCTTCTCTTAAGGGACTTAAGAGAGACCTAAAGTTAACCCTTGAACGTGATGTTGACTTATGGGCCCAAGGAAGCCATCACGTGAATGCGACGATTCAGTGAGCCATAAGAATTAATCGAAAGCCAATAGTGTGCCTGGGGAGAGGGGGTTACTTACTTAATTGTTTACAAATCAAGAGAGAGTAAATAATTACCAAACAAGTGAATAACGTCTCAAAGTGAATAAATTTTACGAGAAGTAGCATTCAATCGAATGTGGCTACTGTGACCAGTAAATTAGACAGCATTTGGTCATTAATTAAGAATGTAGAAACGCTTTGAATACTTCAAACAAAATGGAAGGGCTCAATAAGGGAGATCTACGACCTTGTCATGAACAAGGAATTGTTAAAAATGAGTGCCAAAAAGAGCTATTGAGTTGAAAAGAGCTCGGAAATATAAAAAAATACAAGCAATACACGTAAATGAGGGACTAGTGTGGTCCCTAAGTAGCAAATTAATTAATTATTTTTTCACAGATAACACTCTCTTTCCCTGTGATAAAAATTTACCCCAAATAGAAAAAAACTTTACCAACCAACTTACTTGATCGATATTAGCTAGTTTCTAGCATTAGACTGAGAATCACACACCCCCCCCCCCCCCCCCCCCCCCCCCCCCCACCCCCCGCTAAGGCTCAGCAAAATGGCCGATCGAAGTGGCTAACTTTCTCGTTGCCAAGTCACAATCAAGTCACATGTACCAAGCTGTTGGTCATTCTCCTAAAGTTCCATATACAATTGACCAACAAGAGAACTATGCACAAAATTAAACCGAATAGATTTGTGACAAGGCAAGTACTTAGTTGTATTGATCAAAATTATTTAAAACTATTGGTACTATTAAGACACATAGTCTAGTAGCTGAACAGATTTGTTTTGCAACCCCTAATGAGAGATTCTTTACATGAGAACAGTAAAAAGGTGAAGATAAGTGTATGGTCCATTTATTTTCCAGTAACTGTCGCGTTGGCGAAGGTGACAAGGCGGAGACGCGCTAACCTATCACCAACACTAAAAAATTAGAGGCAGCATGCAGACAAGACGAAGTTCAAAGGTTCAAAACACTATGGAAAGTATACGAAATTCTGAAATCTTAATGACCAACAACAATAATCGTTGCTGAGTGAAAGAAAGAGAGGTTAACAAACATTTTGAAAGTAGTCTCATTGGAAATGGAACAGTAAGGGGAAGAATACTTAAAAGAGAAGGAGTAGGATAAAGACACAAAGCGAGAATCATGATTTAAGGAATTATATAACCGATCTGGGGTGCGCGATAGAATTATCTCCACGTGGTGCATCCTGGGCAACCCATACACATACAGCAAAAAAAGTCTATAAACTGGAAGTTGACTTCTGAAATCAAACTACCATGACCTGACTGCATGTCATATTCGACTACTTCCACAGTACTCATCTTACATTACCTTTTTCACTACCTTTGTGTCTGTCTCTTTTACCTCTGTGAATCTCACTTCTGCCCCCCCCCCCCCCCCCCCCCCACCTCCCTCTCCCCCCACTCTTTGTGACTGATGTTCATCCTCTCTGTGAAGCCCGAAGTCAACTAAAGGGCCAATGATAACTATCACAAAGCCTACTATTTGATATAAATAAATAAAATCCATCTATCCTAGAAAAAATAGGTCATGTGCACGGAGTAGCAGCAACACTCGTGATCGCTTAGGCGAAAGAGCTAAAGAGAGGCGTGAATTCCAGTCAAAAACCTCCTCCTCCTCCTCCTCCTCTCAAACATCCTCTCATTTTATGGTGCACTAATGTACTTCTGGCTCATATGGCTAAGACTCGTGAGAAGTATAACTCGAAGCTTCCGGTGATTCACTCCACTTTCCATCTCCGAATAACCAGTCAACCCATTTTTTTTTCAATACTCTCTAGCAGGTGAACAATAATCGCGCATACATTGCTTGCAAAATTAAAAGTAAATTTTGTGCTGAAATTAAGGGGATATAAAAATAAAAACTGCAAAGAGAGGGTGGTGCTTAAAATAAATAGGTAATTAGATTAAAACAATGATTCAAAGGATTAAGTAGATTAGATACTTTGAAAATTCTTATATACGACAGGATAACTCAACATTTTGACACCTACTTCTTCAACAGCTACATCTATTATGAAATTAGATTAGGTGTGTGGGTGATTGAAAGAAGGTTATTAAAAACTCAACATTTTGGAAATAACCGAGTGATAGTCACGCCATGAAGTTCGAAAACCAGTGATAAGGTGCTGATACACGCTCATAACAGTGTAATAATCTTCAAATTGCAGATCAATACACTCGATGCTGTGCGCTTTTCCCCATTTTATTAAAGGCATAATAATTAATAATAATTTGAGTTTTCGAATAAAATTTCAGAATTCGTAAACAATCAATGGTGAAGAGTGGGAAATTTACTGCAAGTACTACCTTTCAATCTATAGAAAAAACGATTATAACTGCATGTTAGTTAATGAAGCTCGGACATATTACTTACATAGTTACCAGTGTTGTCAATGGCAATGCTTGGTCCAAAGCTCCTCTAACTAGTACACTTAACTACTCTAAATGCCTCGAAAGGGAACTTGTACAATGTACAAAATAATACGGAGAGTTTGACAACTAGACAGCAATAAAATGCCTCAAATACCGACAAACAAGAGCCATTGAGAAAGTAAAGACAAAAAATAGAAGAGAAAGGATAAAATGCAAGTGCAAGGTCACTCACCCCTGAGTGGTGGGTGAGTGCGAAGCAGTGATTTCCACCCGCGAAAACTGCAGTAACGGTGGGTTCCGTGGAATTGGTAATAAAATTAGCAGGAGAAGCTTCTCGAGAATGCCAAGGACCTGTGAATAAAAGCGCAGTTCAGTCAAAAGAATTGGTGGACGTCCACCACCCATCTTGTGTGTTGCGTTTACGACTATTACACCATAACCAGTAATTTTTTGGAGACTGCAAGTCTTAAGACATTCAAGGAACACAGCAGCAATTCACTTGATGGCAAGATAAGCCATAAAAAATCAGTAAAACTGCTTTCAAGAACACAACCAAGTAAGACTAAAAGGTGTCCCTTACAAAAAGATAATTGTCCTCTTGAGGATAAAAAAGGAAAGAGCAGCTTTTCCCAATTAGAAGATTAGGGGTTGAATGGAGAGCACGTATAAATAAGAGAAATGAAAGAGAATTAGGAAGAAACAGAAAATGGGAGAGACGGGGGAAAAAGCAGCGTAAATTTAAAGTGGGTTAGACAGACACATCGTCGTCGGCAAATATTGAACTCTGTGAGACACACATTGAATATGACTAAAGCTTTTGCCTTGTGACTTTAACGATGGGATTCAAATAACTCAACATTACCAACAAGACTTCTGCTCCTCAAAGAGAGGTGAACAACTAGCAATAACTTAAGCCCCCATCCATATGCAAAAATCTAAATCAACACAACCATAGTTGTCTAAATGGAAGAACTGGTTGTACATAGATTACCTATGCGAACTTGCGTGGCATCGACGCTTAACAAGACGAATGTTGGTAAGGAAGACTCGGATCAGAATAATCACACCAAACCCAGCAGTGACTAGTACAAACAGACTCACCTATTCGTTATAAAAAAATAGTCCTAAGACCAATAATACAACCTCGCATGAAATTATTACATTGGGGACGAATTTTGCGAGTTGTTCGAGTTTCACCCTTTGGGTGGCCTGATTCAACATTTTTCAGACAGCTAGGCGAATATCGGATCCGTAATAAATCGGCAAGATTTCACCGGCATCCATACATGCACATTTATCAAAAGTGGCGAGGAGACTCAGCTTGCCGGTATGTAACGCATCATCGCCTTTCAATCTCTTAATAGGCTTTTGCTCCCATTTTTCCTGCAAAATCCCAATATATCGATACTAAACTAGCCGCTTTCTTAAGTAAATCGCATTCATTGATCGTGGTATTTATGTCATACCAATACCATATTGAAGAAAAAGACAAATGTACTAAAGCATAGCCTATCCAAATTCTAACCAAGTGTACCTCAAACCGACATGCAAAATAGGATCAGTGCACTCACCTATAACATTAACCGGTAGGAATGTCTTCTGAAGGTTGGGCTGACCTAATTGACCCTCATAGCCGCAACCAAAAATAATGGGTCTAGGTCGAGGAGGAGAGTGGAATGGATTGCATACCACGACGAGAGTATGCCGTCGGCCGCAAACCAACTGGACGCAAGTGTCACCCATGAGTTCCATCACCTGCCTGGGATTTCCCACGGACGTCATTCCCGGCCCATGGCCCAACTGTCCAAATCTAAATAAGAACTTGAATCGAGGTGTGTATAGGGAAATGGATACGTGTTTTAAATGTATGCTGATTGGGCTTTTCAAACCCAAATGGCAAGGACAATCAAGAACCAATAGAAAGATAGAGAAAAAGCTCAATCATTTTCTTTCTTGGGAGGAGTAAGTCTAAGCATCTGACAAGTTAGATTGAACAAATAACAGGTTTGTCTTATTTTGTCATTGACCAGACGAGTACTTAACGTTCAGAAGTCCAAAATACACCATACCATTCAGAAGTCTAAAAGTGACTTATAGTGTGGCAGATTAATTGCATATGTTTTTCGAACGATACACGTTTATGCAAGCACAAAAGCAAATATTTATTTGGGGGGAGGGTTAATTTGACACAAGTTCACCAAGTATTAATTGTAGCATCTCATAGCTTCCTTAATATCTGAAAAATAGTAAGTGATCACAACAGTACTTATTCGTAACATTCTACACCATAAACGTCATGAGAATTTTAGTTTATCCATAAATCAACAAGCATAGCTCATAGATGTTTAGAAAGCAACTGGCGTTCCAAATAAGACAGTGAAGACAGGGTGAGTTCATTTCAATATCATAAAACATACTAACCTGCCATCACCAAACGTGAAGACAGCTCCATCTTTAGTGAGGAGTGTGGAGTGAGTTTCACCACAAGCGACATAAACCACTCCACGTCTCTTGACGCTTTTCAGCAAACGTGGAGTAGGCACACTAACAATGCCCTGTTTGGAATTCGGTGAGTTTTCAGACCGAGATCGCCGGGACAATACAGGGGTGTTTGATTGCGATTCCGCCTCGCCCAAACCAAGTTGCCCCTGAGTATTTGAACCCCATACGTAGACTGATCCACTAGGAGTAACAATGACATTGTGATTAGCGCCTGCGACAATCTGTCGCACTGGTAGAGCAATAAGAGCTTCGACCAGTTGAGGAGTAGTCATAGGTTGCTGGGAACAATAACCGAGACCCAACTGGCCCTGACTGTTTGAACCCCAAGTGTAGATCTCTGAGGCCTCTGTTAAGGCAACTGTGTGCTCAAGACCCAGGCTTATCTAAAAAAACAGAAGCTCTAAATACGTGGTCTTTCAAGGAATTTCACATGAGAGGATGTGTAATCGTGCATATGGCCTGCCTCAAGGGGGCATAATTAATTAAAAGTTATAAAGGAGGGACAACAAGAGAGGATAACGTGCTCACTAATCATTAGATATCCTAACTAGATGTATATCCATTTAATTTAAAGGGAGGAAATGAGTAAGAATACATAAATCAATTCTACATAAGCCCCGAACTGTTTAGCCGATACTTATTGGGCGGAAGAATTGTAGATCGGGAAATTCAGGTATTAGCTACTGATGAACTTTCCTTTCTTTTCAGAATCAGTTAGCATTCTATTTTGAAAATGCTTTAGAAAAATTAATTTTGACATTCTACCATACTGAAAAATGTAGGGTTAAGATTGCTTTATTTACCTCTAGTATCAGATAATCTTAACGACACTTTGTTTCGAATGCTAGATGACACACGACTTGATCAAACTACTCGTTAGGAGTTTTTAAGTAAGATATAACCATGGAACATAAGTAATTATTAAATCAATTTGTGAAAGCTTAAACACCCATTTTGACTAAAGGAGCATCATCTAATTACCCTGGTAACAAACTCAAATCCGTCACCCATTTATTTGTCAGGCTTAACCAGTACGATTGGCCTTTCTGCTCACCAACTGCGCACCGATGAGCATTGAATACAAGACTTCTGACCACACCGCAACAACAAAATGAGACGCTTATACTAACTGCTAAGAATATCATGAATAGAGTATGCCCAATTAAAAGAGTAAGAGACAACAAGTTTGCTTGTATCCTAGTAGGTTAAACATTGAGAGATTAATTGGTTAATTGAAAAGTTAATGACGTGATCCAGTAGACCCATTGGAATGACTGTGGTTAAGAGATGGTCATAAGAAATTGCATTTTAAAACACCTATTAAGAATGAAAAAGTATTTTAAACACAAAAAGGAAGGTAACTAGCACCCACTTGAACAATAGTTCCATGATTGAAGTTAAGAAGTCCAACCTCGTTATCTTCAAAATCATCCCGGCCTAGTTGATGATTTGTGTTGCATCCCCACATGTAGACGCGGCCGGTCACTGTAATTGCTGCACTATGATAAGGACCAGCGACCACATCCCTAACATGTTCTTTAATTCCCGAGACCTAAAAAATGAAAGAACCATGCTCTCGAACACTCTTGAGTGATATTTGACAGATAGTCCTCAAGTGAATAACTTTCGAAGAGCATAGCATTAGAAATTAGTGCATGCAGTCAATAGCCAATAAAGGATCACATTTAATCATGTTGAGAACTAATCGATATGTTAAATCGTGTAGATGTCATAGGTAGATTAGGAAAGTAAACTAATATTACTGGTTTAAATTGGAAATTCCACCAACAGCGATTTATGATCAGACATGACTACATTGGAGAATAATAAAGATCTAACGATCACCTACAGTAAAAGGTCAGTTTCTCACACATGAGTAAAACTGATGAAGGGTCTAAGTAAAATGGATAAATCAAATAAATTTAGGTAAATAAATAACGGGTGAGAGATTACAGAAAATTCTATATTCGACAAAAAGAAACGACTAAGAAATTAGAAAAACGAGTGGCTTTGAGTGATGATAACTTGATTTCTTCACACACATTTCTATTTCATTAACATAGATGGAAGCAATATTTATAATAAGTCACAAATTTTCAAAACTAGAAAATCGTTGAATTCTAGTTTTCATATAACATAAAATAGTACGCAGGAAGGAGAAAGAAATCAAAAAAAAATTTCTAAATTAAAAGTAAAGCAGCAAAATAATAATAAAGCATGCCTTAACGAAAGCATTATTTTGGCGTTTATGACCGAGCTGTCCAAATTCATTAGATCCGGAGCTATAGACGAGGCCTTCAGAATCAAGTGCAAGAGTGTGCTGATAGCCACAGGAAAGTTTGATAAGATGTTTACCAACGCCAGGAGGAGGCCAATTAATTACAGTAGGCTGGCAAACTAAACCACCTGATTCTTCTGTAGAAACCGGGCCCAATTGGCCTACTTCACACGAGCCCCATCCATAAAGAGTAGACATTTGAATGCTTTAACTAAAAAAAGAAATCTAAAAATCATAATGGTTATAATGAAGGCACAATAGGGCAATATCGATAAAATACGGATACAAAAAAGAAATAAACACTAGAATCTAGTTTTTTTTAAAATAATTCAACTTGATAAGATAAAATTTAGTACATATTTATTATTAATGCGAAAATATAGGTTTCCGAGGGTTCGAGTTAGCCTGCGATGTAGTTGGGTTAAAAAGAAAATCATGAGAAAGGGTAAAAAATCCAAGGCAGTGTTTTCGTGTAGCTAGATCGCTCGAAATTAAAATCAAAATGCAAAAGCCGTTAACAAATTTAAATTGACATAAAAACAGCATTATTTTTTTTTCATTTTCCACAATTGATAAAAATGACTTATCCAAGATAAAAAGTAGGCTGCATTTAAGCGGTCAATTCTGACAAAATAATAATTGTTTAATTTTAATAGGTCGTAGATACTAAATATGGGCAAGCTTTCAAATTGAACTAATAAATCACGCAGACGTCGATTTTGAATGTGAGATATTTTGCAACTTACGGATCTTTAGCATGTTTAGAGTCTTAAATGATTAGTATGCCTTAGTTGAATTTATACTCCAATAAAGTTATGTTAATCATTGCATAAATAGGATTCGAACATAATGAGCAAAGAATTATTAGTCTTTCTGTGAAATTCAAAAGTGTGAAACACGCAATTAATATAAATGTAAGTAAATCAAAATTAATATTCTTCATTACAAGTTTACAACGAAATGATGGCAACGTAATAATTGAAAATTTTGTCATTCAGACATGCATATACCTGTATGTTAATATATCTAGATTTACTCATATTGAGAACGTTAGGTAAAACATACATAAATTTCTTAAATAAATAAATATATATATTTCATAGCAAATTTGTAAAGAACTCTATGTGAAATGTTAGACATTGCGATTTTTAATTGTTTAAATTCTTAGGATGATCAAGTTGGCGCGCCAACTATTACTTTCTCGTGATGGAGTTTCAGCGAAAGGCATGTTCATTTTACGCTTACTTAATTTGACTCTCGCTAGGCAATAGTGATTGATGCCCGTGGTCATCTTCTTGGTCGCCTTGCCTCTATCGTGGCAAAAACTCTGTTAAATGGCCAAAAAATTGTGGTGGTTCGTTGCGAAGAGATTAACATATCCGGTTCTCTATATCGCAATAAGCGTAAGGCCACAATTATGTATAATATGTTCCTTTAGTTAAGTATCACGAGTTCCTTCGCAAGCGAATGAACACCAATCCCTCACATGGACCTTACCATTATCGGGCTCCAGCAAAAATTTTCTGGAGAACCGTTAGGGGAATGTTGCCCCACAAACTCTATCGAGGTAAGACTGCTCTCGCTAAGCTAAAGTGCTTCGAGGGTATTCCACCGCCATACGACAAGAAAAAGCGCGTTGTTGTTCCGTCCGCTCTTCGTGTCTTACGTCTTAAGCAGCGCAGAAAGGTTTGACGCTTAATTGTTCTTATTTTCGCTTCTAGTTCTGTACCCTTTCCAGACTTTCATCTGAAGTTGGTTGGAAATATGAGAATGTTATCAATAAGATGGAAGCCCGTCGAAAGGCTCGTGCTGCTGTCTGGCATAAAAAGAAGAACTTTGACGCTATTCCCGATCAAGTTGCTCGCGGCAAAGCTCGTGAAGCCATCAAACCCTACAACACCATTCTCAAGAAGTATGGTTATTAATTGTAGAATAAATTATATTGGGATGTAAATTCTGCAAATACTTATTTGGATTATATCACTGTCTCTATTGGTATGAGAGTTTTGTTTCGTTTCTGGAAACGTCTTCATAATATGCTATAGTAACTAGGTTATCGTATTTTGGTTCATTCTTAATGAATGCTCTTGTACGGCACTGAGAAGGTTGCCTTAAATAGTTCTCTTTACTGAATAAGTAAATGATTTATAAGCATAGCACTTTTTAAAGGAGATAGATTGTGGATTTATAGTTTAAAGCGTCAAATTTTTTGCGCTATAACAAGTCAGGTTGGCTAATTATTGAGTTCGTGGTACGATGTTCAGTTCACCGTCTGTTTATTCAAGCTACAGATATGCATTGTTGCCCATTTTCTCAATCATTGCGCTTGTCGGCTGTGGTTTGTTTGTCTTAAATTGTTGTTGGTAATCTGCTGCTTTCCAATTGTAGAACTGCGAGTCATTGTTCTTAATGGTGTGAGATGCATCGTTATTGCTCAACTTTACTTCTATGTTGGCAAATTATGTGTGGATATGGAGATTAATTAGATAGCTTTTGGCTGTCACTAATTATTGTTAAGTAGACCGGTCTGTTTCTTTAATTTGTAAATAGGACTTGAGCTGAACTTCTAATGTATTCCCATAAGACAAAATGGTTATGTTATCCCATGCTGTCTGCTTATTTCTTCCGTTTGGGTTTCTGCACCAGGCATTGACTTAGGGTGGTAAACCCTCATTCCTGATAAGAGTGCGTTTAACTTAAGTTACCCAGAAGTGATTAAGTATTGCCTTGGACCGATGATTTGATGTATTTTCCAGAAACATGTATGCTGTTTATGCAATCACTTCATTAGACACTGGAATGGCGCATAACGCCGAATCTCATTGACAAATGGAGTTGGTCACGTTAATCAATAAAAAGGTGGCAGTAATTCCACGACTTCTTAAATTAGGACAGCGTTATCGTTTGTGCATTTTATTATAAACATATTAATTGCGTTTAAATTTTGGTGATTGACAGGTGCTTGTATATTCATTATACATATTTTCAACCAGCCATTAAGCGAAGCAAACTATCAATGAATCCTCATTTAATCGAACATCAAAAATTATAAGATTTGCGACTATGCTTGATTTTCTCTTGAGATTGATATATTATTTTAGGAAAATTGTCATAAGTGGCGATTATTTACATTAGAAAATAATATTCATAATACCTTACGATTGTTCGATAGAATCGAGAAAGTAATGTTAGGGGGAAATTGCCATACAACGTTATGTATCATGATTGTTTTATTATTGATGGGCATTATCGGGTATATATATATATATATATATAAGTGGTAATATCATAAAATTATGTTAAAATCCTTTATTTGATTTTTGTTTTAAGGCATTATGAAACTACCAATATTTTCTAACTAAATATTTTATGTTATATATTTATACATGGACTATTACCTATTAATATTTTATTAGCACGCAGTCCACTAAATTGAGTTACCCTTTCCCCCCCCCCCCCCCCTCCTTTCGCTACCTTCCATTCGCATTAACATGAATCGTCTTATCTTCCCCATTTTCTGTCAGACGGGTTTTTGAATACATTTTTAAGTTTTTGGCTTTTTGCTGTCGCTTCGAAGTAAGCTTCAAAATGATAGGTTCGGGCTATAATAACCTAATTACATAAATTGTAACTTTATTGTGGCTTTTATCTTGCCACAATTTTTCAAATAATGTGTAAACTAAAATAAAAGAGATTTGAATTCAACTGAAATGAAGACATTAGCCGATCTGATAAGCAGAATATTACCAGTAATAAAAATGCTTATTGTAGAATTCTAGGATAATTTCTTTCAAAATAGATTATTGAGCCAGAGAAAATGAACCTCAGAAATTGGAATTTTCATTATTTGTTTTAAGATTTAGGTGCTTCACTGCAAGAAAACGTTGGTTGGTTAATTACAAAGACCACTGCTGGTCATTCAAAATTGTAAGGCCTAATACACTTATTGGTATTTTTCACAACAAAAGTTACGAGGTTAAAATTAAGACAAGCAAATCAGTTATTCATTCCTGCCTATTTTAGTATACGTTAAGAGCAAATTTAACCCTATGTATAATTTGACTTTTAAACTGAAAATAATGCAAATTTGTTTAACTTCATGAAAAGCGCTTGCACTTATAAAAGTGGAATCATATAATTGATATTGCATTAATTTATTAGATCAAATGTGCCACGATAACGTTTCGACGTTCCTCTCTACTAAATATACCCACAATTTCAACGCTTTAGGAATACACTTTGGTTGCTAAATGCTTGAGTCATTGGTCAAATTGATGGGGAATGGCACACCAAACAGCAATGATATTTGTATGAGCTAAATTATGAGTTTCTTATAGATTCAAGTTAAAATACCTGATAAACTTTTACAAGACAGAAAGAAATTATTTTTAGTCAAGAAATGTGAACCTAATACAGTCAGCTTGGCTACTTTTAAGAAAGTATAAATTCTTCCAATAGGTCTAGTTTTGGTTAATATGGAATGAGGGCTTATTTTTAATATGGGGTAAGAAAAATATTAGCACTTTGAACATATTTGCAATAACTAAATAAGCGTCAAAGTCTTTCTAATGCAAATATACCTCGATTTCTAATTAACTGTTGAGTAATAATTACTGAATGGCAACAATAAAGTGTACTTATTATCAAAGCGAAATTGAACGGGGAATCCTAACCTCTGGGTTTAAATAATTTAATACTCATATGTTAATAGAAAGGCATTTGAAGGATCACCACGAAAATTTCATACTAATGATTGGTTTCAGGCAAAATTTTTATTATTCGGAAACTTGATGAAAAAATGTGTGAAAGTTTTTTGACTGGAAATTGTAATGTTCCTTTGAGTGAATAACCACACTAATTTTCGTGCGAGTTAATGTATACATCAAAGCTCATAGCTGAATACTTGAAATAGTCTAAACGATATTTAATTTTTATTTTTGAAACGCGAAATAAAGTAAAAAATACTGCTGATTAATTCTTTAAGCTAATCATTTATAAGTCATGCATACACTGTTTATTGGTCAGAAAGTTCGGACTGGCCTGGGAGCATTTTGTGACGTGAATAGCCTCCTTCATACCGTTATCCAACGTTGATATATTCTTAGCATGGGCAACACCCCAGGCACTTCAAAAAGGCGTTCCTCAATTGAGGATGATTATACAGGTGGTGCCGGAATTATGGGAAATCCTTATTATCCACCAAAACGAAAGTTTATTCTCCAAGCATCTCAAGTAAGATGGGGAAATTATACTATATTATATTACTAGGCTGTAAATGATGACGACCCTGTAGTAAGTATTTTAACGGAAGGCCACACGATTGAGGCGATTGCGAATCAATTAAGGAATTCTCGTATCCAAGATGGGCCAGATCGACCATGTGTTTTCATGGACGTCGTTGGTAGTCCTGAATCTTCTGGTGACACTCTTGACGAAACACCGGCTCACACAACTCTCCCGACCGTTTTCAAATGGGAAGGAGGTGGAAAGGAAGTGTACATTAGTGGAACTTTTAATGGTTGGAAATCTAAAATCCCTATGGTTAAAAGGTAAGCCTTCAAATAACTTCCTTGCCTATTGAATTTGGATTGGGGTGGTTTCCAAGAAACTGACACCTAATCTCTCCCTCTTGTTATATATGTACTCATCTATAATTAGGTGCTGTCATTGTCTACAGCATCTTGAATAGTCAATTGATATACTCTTCATTTATTTGTAGTAAACAGAACTTCTATACAATTATTGATCTTCCAGAAGGAGAACATCAATACAAATTCATCGTCGATGGTCATTGGAAACTTAATAAAAATCAAGTGAGTTTCATTTAAAGTCACTTTTAATTGTTTGTTTCCTATTATAATCGATTAAACTAAACAGACCTTTTAATATTCGTACGATCTTATTAAAAACTTCTCGTTGGGAAATTTTTAGTCCTTATAGACTTCGTTTTGCACGTGTTTGGAAACACTAATTTTTTCCTCTGTGTGGGTGAGTTTCAGTGGCTCACGGGGTATCGGTCAGTTCAGTTCTACAGTTAGCCCCTAACTTAGAGTTTATCTTAGCTGAAATTCTATTATTTCTTAAGTTAGTCCGAAATGAGCGCTTAAAGGCACCACCTCAACAGATTTTGAACTTGATTGTATGTGCATTATCTGGCATCCAAAGTATTCTCTTTTGTTTTTCCAAAGGCTTAAGAAGTCATGTCTGGATGTTTTACTTAAACCCAACCTCAGTCTTTATCCATGAGATAGTTGTTAGCTGCTTCCGACTTTTATTTCAGAATTTTTATGTGACTGTCAATCGTTATTATTCTGTTAATTTGCCAACAATGGTCTATGGCTTGGAGGTTTACAAAGCTGGACATTAGAAAATCTAAACCATCATAGTCATAAGATAGAAATGAGACAAAGACGAAAATTTTTATCTTTAGAACTATACACAGTGTTTAAGTAATAGAATAAGGGTTTATTTACGACCCGTCGATAATACTCTTAGGGTGTGAGGGATGAGTGGTGGGCGAAAGAAAGTGAAGGTCAACATATGATCGGGGGGGGGGGGGGGGGGG